CCGTAAAGGAAAAGGCAAAAGTTTCACACCATACAGCCAAGTCTTGGTAAATGATTCTTCTTATTTGAATAAAAAATAGACCTAGGCCAAGTCTTCAGTCCATTATTTATTTTATAGGCATTAGTGCGACAATACACGTCCGTTCGCTCCATCCGATAGTCTGATCCGACTACTGGAAGGCGTTCGTACCATATAATTGTATGAACACTCAATACATGACCGATCCGATTAATTAACCGATTGTCTGAAGGCGCGCTCTCTATACTTTTGTGGGGAGACGAAATACACGTCCCATTCGTCCCTCCGATTTGCAGCGTTGCCAATGCAAATTATTCAAAATCCCCAAAAATCAAGGTTATATTTGGGGAGAGCAAAGGTCATATTTCCCACATGTAATAATATCTATTAATTCTCAGTATTTATTATATTATTATTGTTGTTACGCTTAAAAATATATCAAATAATTAAGAAAGTCAAAATGTACCATCTATTACATATACGCATCGAGTATATAACCAGAAATAGAGACGAAATATCATTTAATTTGATTATCACTAGTGTCAGGTTTCTTGCCACGGTATGACTTTATATTTTCCCGATATTTCGGAACGATTGCACGCTCCATGGTCACGGATTGACTGGACGGCGGCAGATGACAGCTTAGCAGACATATCTGTCTACCCTCTTGTGCTATCGACGACTACCTTCATCGTGATTTATTGTGGCGTTACCATTGTCACTCACTTTTTTCACACAAGCCACACTCACTGTATCCACACGCGAAACTGAACTCGAGGTGTTTTTGTTTTTATTACTGTACGCATTAAGGACCGGATTCCATGCACTGGACAGTTTAAAAACCGTACATACTGTGTAAGTACCGTGGTAAGAAACCTGATACTAGTGATAATCATTTAATGAATAACCACGAAAGTCTTAAAATCTATATCATTTAATTTGTTTGAAAACTATTCTGCCATATCATTACTGTGATAACTGCGCTCCGATAGGCTAGCCCGAGTTCGAAACAATTGGCGGGTGTCGTCAATTGTTTCACTTCAAATCGACCAGTTAACTTGAACTTTGTTATAATGGACGAAAATTGCAAAATTACATATTTAATTACCGATGAAATGAGATTCCGTTTGTTTTGTAATTAAATGTTTTTCCTACACCACCGAACTGAACAGCACGGCATTGTTAGAGATATTACCTTTATTACAATAAATACAGAATATTTTTTGGGATATACGAAGACGTACGTCAGACACAGGTCAGTAGTTGACCTGTCTATATATTTCAATGCAAACGAAAGTATTACAAGCAAACATGTGCACTCAAATGCAATATTGAATTGTGTCACTATAGTCTCACAAACAAAAATCGACAACACTAGCTTATTTTTACAAATACACAGATAAAACACACATCATGTCATGTCCGTACACAGAATAGGCCTATAAAAATAAATCGATTCTCATGAATATACTAGAGACGGAAAGTTATCGACGTGACGGTATCGATATGCATTACGTGATTAATCAGTATTATTCACGTATATGAAACATGTAATTCCATCCTTGGTTAGACTGGATGTAGAGGATTTCTTTTTACAATTTTGTGAATAGTGTAACTGTGGTATTGTTTTACTTGTATTTGCCAGAGAAGAATGCCCATTGACTTACAAATAAATGGATGACAATAACCACTAAACTAATCCAAAAACCGCGACAAAATGTCCGGAGTTTTCCGGCTTTTCGTGGTCAGCGTTGCAGCCAATGATAAGCATGGCCGCAGCTAATCTATACAAATGTAGTGATGTGTATAGAAATAATAGGGGTTAAAGTATGAAATTGCCGATTTGTACTGAAAATCTAAATTGTTTATTTTTTTTAATTTTTAACAAATTTATTTAATCAAAATAGTTGCCATTATTATCTATACATTGCTGCCATCTAATGGGAAGGTTATTAATGCCTTTGCGATAGAACTCCGACGATCTAGACTGCACAAACTGTGTGAAAGCATTTTGTACTGCCTCCTGGGAAGAAAACTTCTTGTCACGTAGATAATTGTCCAAATCACGAAAAAAATGGTAGTCCGTTGGAGCAAGGTCTGGTGAATACGGAGGATGACGAATGGTTTCTAACTGCAGTTCCTGAAGGGTCAAAATGGTTTCTCGTGCTGTGTGAGGTCTCGCGTTGTCGTGGAGCAATAATGGTGAAGATCGATTCATGAGTCGGGGCTGTTTTACTGCTAGTTTTGTCAACATGGTTCGGAGTTCGGCACAATAGACATCTGCCGTTATTGCTTGACCAGATCGGAGAAAACTATAGTGAATAACACCATGCTGAGACCACCAAACAGTTACCATTACCTTTTTATTGGTAAGTTTTGCTTTAGGACACTGTTGTGGCATTTGACCTGGGGTCAGCCATTGCATTTTTCTTTTCCGGTTATCATAAAGAATCCACTTTTCATCACATGTTACAATTCGATCCAATATTCCTTCATTTCTGTACCGGTTCAACAAGGCAACACAAGTTTCAACACGCGTTTCTTTCTGCAGATCAGTCAAATCATGAGGCACCCATTTTTCGTATTTTTTTATTTTATTGATTTGACGCAAGTGAGTCAATATTGTGGGTAAGGCAACGTTAAACCATGCCGCTAATTCCTGGGTAGTTTGACTAGGATCGGCTTCCACTATCTCTCTTAATTCATCGTTATTCACCTGTGTGGGCGGTCTTCCTCGTGCCTCGTTCTTTAAGTCGAAATTTCCATCACGAAAGCGTTTAAACCAAAATCGCACGGTGCGTTCATTAGTAGACCCCTCTCCAAACGCAGCATTGATATTGCGGGCTGTTTCAGCCGCGTTAGTTCCGCGTCGGAACTCGTATTCAAAAATCACTCGAATTTTCGCAGTATCCATCTTTCTTGTCTAAATTGAATAACAAAAACAATTGAAAGTCGATATTCAAATGTTTCAAATTAAAAAAAAAAAAAAATCACAGAAACCATTTGAAAAAAGTTTCATTCGAAAACCTCAAACCATGAAGATTCTATGAAAATTCAAAGAACCTATTGCAATAAAACGGCAATTTCATACTTTAACCCCTAATATTAAAAAAACTAAAACATTTAATTGAAATTATAAAGTCGTTGCAGTATTGCTTGATTTTGTTTGCCACAATCTAAAGGCCCAAAAATTATCCATATTCAGCTTCTACTGGAAATAACAAAATGCACCATATTTAGCTTCTAGTGAAAACTACTTTAACACAAGAGTGATGGAGTAGTCTTAATGTCAATATTAATTAGTTTTATAGTATTATGTTGAATTTTATACGAATTCACTTCAAGTAATAAGAGTTGTGCAGATATATATGTACACACAAATATTATAAATGAGATGCTGTAAGAAATGTATCGATGTTTCGAATTTTCTAGATTCCAACTAAACGTAAACTCAAAGTTTCATAATCTAGAAAACCGATTTATAACAAAACCGTTATACTTTCAGAGGATTTTGGTTACTTATTACAAAGAAAAGATTAAGTTAGTTTGTTTTGTAATTTTCCTAAAATAATCTAAAAAAATATATTTGGGATTACAAAAATTCGAGCAAACATCATTTGCGGCAAATTTTTTTTTTTTTGGGACTTCTGTTTGATAACTCTAAACAGTAAAACGAATAAAACAATATTTTGTTAGTTATTTATGACTAACGTTTAATAAAAAGTCATTTTAAAAATAACATTAAATAACATTAACATTAAATCAACTCTATAGTTTCTTTGTTCTAAATCTAAATATTTGAACCGCTCGCGGTGCGAAAATTGAAATTGACGGAACGGGTTTCTTTCTATATTTTGCGTCTTGTGTGTGTGGATAAGGACAGTTAGCTATTTGGGTATTTTGATAACTTTTGTAATTTATGTGTATTGCATGTAAGTATGTACTCGTATATGTAATTTTTCTTTTTCTTTTTTCTTACAGTACAGCATGATTTATGATGATTTATATTAAAACGATTACAATTTATTTACATTATTGTAATTTATTACACTATTATTTAACATATATAATACGACGGAGAAATCAATCTGAATAAACTTCGTTACATAACCTATCGACAAAAATCGGAGCTAAAAAGCACGTTCGCTTGTCTATAACGAAAAAACAGCGTTCATGAAGTACTGCATTTTTGTCCATAGTTGCATGTTAGTCAATAGGGAACTTCATAGGCATGCCTATGTCAAAATGTTCGAATGTTTTCATATATTTTCTATGTAATCGATAAATTTAATCAATGTGATCATTGTGAAAAAAATCTGTTAAAATAGAAAACTAGTAATAATTAATGTAAAAAATAGACGTATAAATGGAATGTAATTCCATCCTTGACTAGACTGGATGTAGCAGACATTTTTTGCAAGTTTGTATGTTGCAAGACGACATATTTCATGGAGCACTTGACGCGGTCAATTCGATAATGCAAAGGAAAAAACATCGATTTGAAAGTAGTGTTTATTGTGCCATGGTTGTTTTGTGCTTGTACCTTGACAGTGGGGATTGCTTATCAATGATGCCTCCAGTTCTATATGCTCTAAGGATCGCGCGCTCAACACGCACCGACTGATCATCAACATGCTACTTCACATGCGTCGTCCTGTGCGCGATGCGCGCACCGGACGACGCTCAGTGGGTAAGCCCCCCACCAGGTGGACCGACGATCTGGTGGAGGTCGCGGGAAGCCGATGGATGCGGGCCGATCGTTGTGGAGATCGTTGGGGGAGGCCTATGCCCAGCAATGGGCGTCGTATGCCTGAATGATGATGTATAAAAATGCTTTTGCTTTGGAACTTATCAGCGTACACCGGTATAGATATCTTTTTTCCACCATATCGGGGAGTATGCGTTCTATTTCTATCAGTGAGTCAAGTGTAGCTCTTTAAATAAAATGGTCCGAGCGTACGCGTACATAAGTGAAAACCCGGCTTTATCTATCTCTGGCAAGTGGCAACACCGGCAGAGACGAAGCGTCAGCCATTTTCGTGGGCTTGCGTACTAAACAGTTAAGTAAGTAAACGTAAACGGTTAATTTACCTGCTAGTTTTATTAATTCTTTGTGATTTACTATTACCAATGGCTTATAATAAATGTAAGTATTAAAAGACGCTAACTATCAGAGTTTACTGCACTTACTTTTCCCAATTTCTTTGTATATACACAGTAGCTTTGTATTAATTTTAAGGTTTTATATAATTTCCATTATTTGTGTTTATTGTGGCGGTAATTTATCTTTAATGTTATATTTATATTAATGTGAATACTAATAATTTTAGTACAATACTTCCTATTACCTCCTATTATAGTCTACGCCATGAGTATTGATTTCTCGATGTTGCCGTCGCCGGGCGTCATCGCATCTACAACCTAATACTTACGCTTGACTGTGATTTTGTGCAGATAACACACGGAACTCGGGCCGCTATAACACGCCCGGCCAGTTCGTGTCAGCGGGAGAGGTAAATTACTTCTGTTACATTGACAAATTATGGGTTGCACTTATAGGATTTATATAAATATTGTTTTTATTTATGTCAAAGTGAAATATCGTTATTTCATAATTATGTTAGTAAATTGCAGCTGAATCATCATATTAATATTTTAATATTGATTTCTTAAAAGTGGGTTAATAGATGTAGAAATGAGAAGAAACATTAATAATAAACGATCTGTTATCACAGCAATGTGTCGAGCCCCAAGAGCCCTGGTACCGGCCTTATAAAGTCAGGAGCTACCCTCTGACTGAGCGCGCCTTGACGTCTGTCAGCCGGCATTGTCCGCGACAGTGGTGCGGCTACGCGCTCGGTGGTCTCGTGCAATGTCTGGCTCCCACCAATGGCGTTGCTTACTGCATTACTTGTAGAAATTTTTAAGTTGTGCCTGTGGTGAGACCTTTCCGAGATGCAGGCGTGACCTCTCAGAGGGTAGCTGCGAGGGTTGAGAATGCATTATGGTCACGAGGCCAATGGCTTCGTGCTCATACGGGGTTCTCTAGACTTAAGTAGAAAGTAAGCTGCTCTGGATTCCTAGCATGTGATGGCCCTCTGAGATTGCAACTGGAGTAGTTAGTGCCTTGAATCCTGCATTTGCATCAAAGAACACACTATTTGTCTAACATGGAGACCTAGTATTCTGAATCAAAATTTAATCAAGACAAGCCATTCTGGAGACTGGTGCAATCTCACTGAGTACGAGACATGTGAGGAATGTGGATGTTGATGGGTGATGTGACCCACCTTCACTGAGAATGTGTGATTCCTGTCATTTACACTCCCTAATTTAGTTTATACTTGGTGCTGAGTTTTGATTTTTTATGATTTTCCTTCATTTGAGTTGTCATTACCACTTGGTGGTTTAAATCCTCCTATTACCCAATGTTCCCCCATTGTGTCCTGACGCGTGTGGCAGAGTGATTGAGTGTGAGGTGTGGCACATGCCCACGGGCTGACTTACCCAGCTGGTGCCGGGCGTCGGGGCTGCGGGGTCGGCAGCAGGGCCTCTCTGCGCGCCTCTCCCGCCCGCCAGTACGACCGCAGTTAACGTAAGTACTTGTGTAGTAAAGCGTGCTTCGTACCAATGTTAGTTGCTCGGCCATCAGGTTTTATTTCCTTGTAAAAGAAAATATAGTTGTTAAACTATGTTTCATTAACTAGTTGTTATGACGAACCCTCAGTTAATATGGCAATTATTACTTGGTAACATCTGAAAGTAATACTGTTTTCTGTGGATAAAACTTGTTACAACACTTTGTGGTTTTGGTGACAGCAACAGCAGCAGCAGCAGCAGCAGCAGCAGCAGCAGCAGCAGCAGCAGCAGCCACTGTTCAACTCTAATCCGCCCCCGCCCATTCGCAAAACCAACATGCAGCAGAACCTGCAGACCATACAGGTTAGAGACACTACAATTGACTATAATGTTATTATTAGGACAATTACCGTTACATTCTTTATTAAACAGTCTTGTACACCATGGCTCTTTAGCTGTAATAAAGTTAAAAAATAAGGCGCCGCGCAAACGTGTGTCTGGTGTTGGATAGAAGCAACCGGCAACTAGAAACGAATATTCTATTTTCATACAAATTATGGTTGCAGCAACCAGGGCCAGTGTCCGACTGCCGCAATCAGCGACTGTCCGGTTGCCTCAACCGGTGACTCGATTTCATATCAATTGTATGAAAATATGAAAATAGTTGCTGGTTGCTTATATCTAACATAAGACACCTAAGTGCCTAAGCGTTCAAATATCAATACTTAAATACTTTGTTGTTTCAAACACCCTACCTACTTAGAATTAGTCTAAAAATATTCCTTAACACGTTAACTACCACATAGGATAAGAGTGACCGAAAGTGAATGTTATGTGACATCTTACCATTTGTGAATATTTGAAATTAGTATATGGGAAAACAGAATTATATGTATAAAACATAGCCGAAAGTGAATGTTCCGTTTGGGCCGCGTCGGACAATAGTCACCGATGTGATACATATCAGTTTGACTTACGCTTTTGCGCTGCTGTCTCGTTTCCACTAATAACCAATAATAACCATAAAGTGACCCGCGCTATCCTTCCGTGACCGTCAGGATGGCTGGTCGCCTGTGGCATATGGCACTGAGTGTATATTCAAGAATTGCTGCCTATTTGCTACCTTTTCTAAATAATTGCTTTGTAGTTTTGCTACCTTTGTCTATGAAGTGCCTGATTAAATTAAAAAAGCAATATATATAATTTTTAGTGCTCTATTGCCATAATACAAAGGGCAGGCGTTGGCACTTCTTCGTAAAATTTTCAATCGTTTATATTTTTTTAACTAATGTGAAATAGGATGGTATACCTTTAATTCGTGAAAGTAGCAAATACTTCTGTAACATCTGCTCCCTTCATGCTGAACAAAGTGGCAACCAGCCATCCTGATATCAGTCAATTATTTTTTTAAATTTCTCAGAATATATCAAGGTAGTAATTATTTAGAAAAGGTAGCAAATAGTACCAAATAGGTAGCAATTCTTAAATATACACTCAGTGCCAGACATTCGTGTTGTAAAAATAAAGTGTCATCTTACCTTTTGTGAATATTTGAAATGCTATATGGGAAAACAGAATTATATGTATAAAACATCGGCATAATTTGTCGATGTTGAATATTAAAACACTTCCGGCTTAAGTGTGGCTTCCGGGATAAACTGAACAGAAGCTTACAACTTTTTTGTCCTGTTGCCATTTTTCTTATAACAACCAAGATAGTTTCTTCGTGACTGTTTGGCCTTTCTTATTTTTGATGAAAGCTAATATTTCAGGCGCGACGGCCGTAATGTGGTACGCTGATTCCCCGAAAGATTGTGGGATTTATCAGAGTAAATATAGGCGGATGTCCGTCAGCGTGACTTGCGTGGCGCCAATAAAATAATTATTCCGTTTAGGCCACGCCGGATTCATGTAACCGCTACGTATTAAATAAACAATTATATACGAGCTAGAAGTATGTAAATATAAGCCTATTTATTTACTAATATTTCGCTTTACAATAGGATGTACACAAAATCCCGAGACATCATTTCTGGTGACTTTTTTAGATTCTGTTTGGCAGATGACGTGTTAAGTTTATATCAACTTCGTGTGCCGTTGTACTGAACGAATATATATTATTATTATACAAAACGTAGGCAGATGGAGCATACGCAACAAGCGATGTGAAGCCGCTTTTCATTTATTGTGTGCGTGACAACAAGGAGGAGCGCTGTAGGTGCTGCGAAAATACTTTCTATAATACTAATGTTACATACTGGAAATGTTATTTTGCAATATGGTACTTAAGTGGTATTAGGATATCAGACAAATTATACGCAATATAAGTTAATATGTAATTGTTATTATTTGATTTACATCACACAAAGGAAAAAAAATTAACTAAGATATTTCAAAATTGAAAAACTTTGACAAGTCAAAATATTTAATACAGTCACAGTTACACAATATCTTAATAACTTTTGTTTTGTACACGTTTTTTATAATACTATTGTTTCGCGTCTATACATCGACTATTCGTTTCTGATTTTGATTAATGTAGTGCAATCGCACCATCATATACTATTCTTTTTTTTTTTGTTAAATTAACTTTGTAATCAAGCATTGACAATCATCTTCTGATTAGACAAAAATTGTTTGGTTCCATTGGGAATTCTTTAGAACCAGTGAAGTTATGTAATACATTATAATATTTTATTTATTTTATTGACACGTTTTCTTTTAAAATCATTCTGTTTATGACATGTGCAAACACAATGAAAGTTTTCTGAATCTATAGGGCTACATTTTCTTTTGTGTACATAATGGCTATTGGACATTGGTTTGACAATAATTTAGGTAAATCTGAGTTACCTAAAAACAATTTTGGACCGCTGTAAATGGACCAGCCTGTATGTATGTATATGCATGCATTATTTAATGTCTATATAAAAGTATAAATTAATCGATGCTCCTGTCACCCACGCACCGTTATCTAATTTAATGTTACCTAATTTAAGGAAACTCATTTCGATATAAACTGGCAACACATACGAGTTTATGTCAAGGTTTTGTGTACAGAGTGAATCTCAAAAAATCGACTCATCCGTAGAACAAAGATGTACACAACTACTTGTTCTCAGGACATGTACATTTCGTTTGTTCTTCTTCGCTGTGGACGTCAGATCGACTGATGTTCGATTATGTTTCCGAAATGTAATAATATAAAAATTCTGAAAACACCATTACATAGGCCTTAGTTTGAGTAACGAATTTAAACTTTTTTCGCTGTGTAATCACATCGGACTCTGTTCTTCGGATGAGTCGAAATATTGGGTAAATAAATTACAAAATAGTTAAATAATCAATAGTTCCCTGTGACTTTTCACATCCGTCCTCTTATTTTTTGTTTTTGGGAACAACTTTTACAATGTTTAAAGAGACAAAATGGCATTTTTAAACATAAAATAACTAATTCGTGACGTGCAAACACTTGCGACGCTGCGCTTAGTACTGACGCGAGTTTGTATTCGCTTTTGAATTTTTATTAGCTTTGGTGGCTTCACTTTCGTGTCACCGCGCTCCAACTGCCTATGTTTTGTAATCTGAGATTATTATAGTTCAAAACAAAATTGAGTCTTTATTTGCTTGGTAATAAGTTTGAATTTGACAAAGTTTATTTAGATTTCAAAATAAAATTGTGTCAAGACTACTTTGCGTGCATTTACACCAGGTCGCCCTCGCTTGCCAACCGAAGGCCGCGAGCTACCCGGTGTAAGTACTGAGTCGTCTGACCGAATTGACTAGGAGTAAATGCTATGGGCGACTCGGCCGCCTTCGGCCAGCAACGGCCGCTCGAACAGGTTTCAACGTGGGGATTGGAATAATGCGGGATTGTAACATGTTACCATGTATTAATTTATCAAAAGCTGATACGTCGATAGTTTGATAGTTAGTATTAAGAAATATCGATTGTGATATTTTTTTGTGCAACATCGTACATTACTCGTTTGTATAGAAACCCTATACATGTGTGCGATGTGTTTCCATATTTATAGTAAGCAGTCATTTGCTTTTTTTTAATTATTGCTGGCCATGGAAACAAAGTCCTTCAGCCGAAAACATAAACGTTCAATTATGTTTCTGTAAATATGGCCACCACAAAGAGGATAGGCAATTTGAGGCGGCGTGCTTGGATTGACTCGGGATTCCTTAGAACGGGCCGATACGGGTATTTTAGTTCGAGATTCGTACACTTTCGCGTTTTAATCTTCGATTAAGGCACAATAGCACTATCCTATTCCACTTTAAACTAGATTTCACAAATAATTGAAAGTCAAAATAAAAACGACACCTTTCCCTCCAAAAGGCCCAGAGCGAATCTCGCAGTCATTTGCTTTTTGTGTGTGTTGCCATTTGTAAAGATGTGGCAATGACCAATTTTTTTTATTTTGTATTTAATTTTGTTAATTTAATTTGCAATTTGTGGGGATATCATCGTGACGACGAGGCGACTGCTTTGCCTTCGTCAAGCCGTATTCACTTGCCGATGTAAAAATCTCTCGGTATAAATAGCGTGTGGACTGCGTCTCTTTCGGCTGGGTTATGAGCCTTCAGCTCGCCCTTTTCTCCGGTGGCGCAGTCAAGGCTATCAGCGGCCAACTGCAAAATATCCTTTAAAAAAAAAATCTCTTTCGCCAAGACGGAATAATCTGCCGAAGGCGGTAGACGGCCTGGTGCGAATGCGCCCTTATAGGCTGTTATATCTACTGAATTGCAGACGCAAGACATCGATATGAAGGAAGAATACAAATCGGACAACTCCGAGAGCTCCACGCGCCCGCCATGGATGAAAAACAAGTTGCAAGGAGGTAAGATTGTCGACTGCGACCCGTCGCGTGTCTAAAGCGTCTATACAGCTGAGGCTGACGGGTGGCGTGTTGACTGATTGCAGTGAAGAAAGTTAGCAATAAAGAGCGGCGGCGGCGACAGAACGAGAACCTGAGGCGGCTGCTCACGCCCAAGAATGCGCTCATGGTGCTCAACGAGATGCTGCCCAACGAGCAGCTCGCCAACGTGAGTACAATCCACACCCGCAGGCAAGCTTGTTTACACCACCGTCTGATGTAATCGTTTTGGTAATAGTGAAGGTATACGATGTTGCAGTGCTAACGAGACGTGCCAGTGATGTGCTGTCGCATCCATAGGCTGCAGTCGTGATCGGATTAAATCGTTATTTTGCAAAATAAAAGCTTCGCTAAACTGGTTAGCTTTATATCGTTTTATTTTTTCAAAGAATAACGCTGTTCTGCAGCAATTCAAAGTGGAGCCAGCCAACCCGTATTACAGCAAGCAGCATAGCTTCTGCGCCGACCTCACTGTCGCTGGGAACTCTTACAAGGGCTACGGTGAGTTTTAGTGAAATTTATTTTCTTATGTGAGGTTGAAACGATGTTTTTGCGTTTTTTAAGAGCTAGGCTCATTTCGGTACAGCTAATCAACATATCGTGAATAATAAAATGAGTCGGGGTCTAAAACAGTTCGTTATAAAAATGGAATCGTTAAAATTCGCGCCATGAGCTATATATAATATTTAAAATTGATTCGCGTTTGAACCGCTAACTCGCGTAAGGATGGACAATTAGTTGGTGTAGTGAGTATCGGACGCCAGAGTACCTCTGCCGCAAACTTGGTTGGTCTCGGAGCTGTTTCAAGTTCCAGGCTATCGTTCCTGCTCACCGCATAATATCTTTCAGAGACAGTTTCAGATTCGCGTCACTTTGGAAAGTTCTAGTAGGAGTGCTTTTAAACGCAAGCTTAAAGATTTCCTGTTGGAAAACCAAAACGAATGTTTTTAACATTTTTCAGCATTGTACTATTTATTATACATATTGTTGAAACATTAACTTTTTTATATGTTGCGTGCACTACTTGGAAGTACTTATACTACACAATACAAGCACACCCACACACACACACACACACACATATATATATATATATATATATATGTGTGTGTGTGGGTGTGTAAACTAAAATATAACATATATATATATATGTTATATTTTAGTGTGCTTGCATGTGTTGAACCGTGACCTCACTTAGGGTCTTAAATGCAAATCAGTGCTGGAAACGCATCGCGTTTTCTTTACAAACACTGAGCTAGTGATCTTTCTGTTACCGTTGCTGGTACCACACGAAGTATCTTTATATTTTGTGTCCTTATTTTTATGAATAATCTGTCGTTTTGTAATTATTCACCTCTCACGTTTCAATTTTTAGATTATGGGTCTTTAATTTTTTTTCTTTTCTTTATTTTGTGGTGTCAGTGGTGGTAGTCATATAACTATATTTTCTTTCTTCAATGCTAAAAATGGTTACCAAGTATATTTGATGATTTTCGTTTGGATGTGAATACCAGAGTCATGCCAAAAGAAATTAGATTCTCAAAAATTATAAAATATGCTCAAAATTCTTTATTATAGGTACCTATCGACTTTTTCCAAGTACTCACCATGGACACGTCTATACTTTTCCATTCGCCTAAATCACTTGGAAAATACCGATGACTACTTTTCTTTAGACGTCTCAAAGTTATATGTAGCCAAGGCATCTTCTTCGTTTCGTTGGAGTTCGCTCATCATTAAAGCACCGAACCGTGGACTGTCGCTTTTTTTCAAGATCATAGTTATACAACTATGTTACGTCACCTGTCAGTATATTATAAACGTTTTTTTCTCTCTCCGGCATTGACTTTTTAATTGTAAGTCAATGCTCTCCGGTGTCAAATTTATCTGTCATAAAAATCCACGCGACATTCTCTCTGCTCATCGTAGTTTGTGCGGCACCCATTTCGAACAACGCATATGGAGAGAAAAGTTGTCCGTGAATAATAGTTTGCAATGCTGCCGATTTAATGCCCAGTTCTCGCTCAAGGTTTACATGTGAAATTCGTCTGTTTCACGAGTAGTTTGAACGTTTTATTCAGTAACCGCGGTTGGCGGCCGATCTTCGCCTCATCTTCAAACCTTCCCCGTCCTCTTTTAAATTCAGCAAACCAATTGCAAACAGTAGCTGTGAACAATTCACCAAAGTTGTTCAAATTTACCAATATCAAACAAACGAGGAAAGAGTATCTAATTTCTTTTGGTGTTATCCTAATGATGATTTCTATTTTGTTAATAGCTTGTTCTGACTAAATTGCAGGCGAGAACAAACTGACGGCACGCAATGCGGCCGCCGAGCAGGCGATCCGCGATCTCATTATTAAGAAGATGAACAAAGTACTCAGCGGCGATGGTAAGCATATCAAATAGTCACTACTTTTAATTTTTAATTGATTAATGGTTTTCTTTTATTTATTTTAATTTTAGTAATTCCTGTGCTGTGTTGTCTTCGTTACAAACTAATATTTGTAATTGGATGTTGGACACCAAGAGTCTCATTGCACAGGTCTTACTTAGTTTGTGCTTCTGGCTCCCAACCTTTTGCTGATGTTGCAACGGATATTCGGCTTATTCGGCCTGTATTTTGCTACTCGGCCGAATACTAATAATTTAGTATTCTAAACACTAATGCTTAATGCTGAATACACGTTGTAAGTTCGCGAAAGTGCAATTTTTTGCTTCTTTATCTAAAAAATCAAAGAAAATGTAACTTGACATAGTAATTGTGTTAGGCATATTTTTAAATGATCTCAATAAATTTGCAAAAGCAGCAGGCAGAAATGTAAACGGTCATCTTTTTTAACGATTGACCCTTTTTCTCCGAGACATAAACTAAATGAAATCAATAGATAATTTAATGTTTAGAGGTTGCAAAAATGTTTGATTTGTGTAAATTAACTTTGATAGTTTCATGTTTCGCTTCAACATTAAGATAAATTATAAGCATTAAAAAATAAAATTTGATACTTGTTTTTAAAACTAAGTTAATGTTGATTATATTTGTATACTAATATTATATTAATTATAATATAATTTGACCGGAAAACATGTTCGGAAACGCAAGCAATTTGGCTACTGGCTGGCTGCTTTTTTATATACTATACTAACCTAACCTAACCTTCTGAATGTAGGGAGGGCGCAACTAATCGACTAAGGTTTGTTAGGAGATCAATAGCAAAATATACCTGTACTGGTTATAAATGTCATCAATTGTTAAAAGAAAAAAAAACTATATAAAAAATATAAATTTAGTATGCTTAAACATGATAATAGTGTTAACTTGAATGAAGTTCATTTACAATTTATCCGTGGATCAACTAATATAGACGGAACAATAATAGAATATGTATATATCAATAACTGCCTCCGTGGCCGAACGGTTACCATGCCGGACTGCCACGTAGAGGTCCCAGGTTCGATTCCCGGGCCGGGAGAAATATTTGTATGGCCTACAATTATTTTTCTCGTGAGTTTGGGTGTAATTTGTGGTTGTCTATATGTGTCCATGGCACCCGCGACACAGGGTTTCCCTAGTGCGGGGCTATGTTGAGGGTGTGCGTTATAAAAAAAAAAATCAATGATAAAAAAATATCGTTTATTTAAACAAGGGCACATTTACAATAGATCAATTATATCTTTGAGGATCTTATAATATTATCCCATTTTTTTAAGAGTTCCAAAAAAGATACGTGTCAAATGAACACTACTTATTTATTATGTAGTTTGCTCATAACCTCAATAAGCGCTAACAAAATCAGCCATTTACGCTTAATATTTAGCAAACCAAAATTAAATTGAGTTTTTGAAATCACTACGTGACTATACTCAACAATTACCTTCTTCATTGCGTCATAAAGAACAGTGGTTAAATTGTTAAAGGATATCTTTACCGGCTTCAAATGTCATAATTACAAGTTTTAATAATAAAAATTCGATAGATTTTTCCAATTGTACTAAAGGCCTGTCTAAATCGGGAAATTAAATCTGATTTACATGAAACTCAAATGACTAATTAATTTGTATGCATATGTAACCGGACTGATATCTACAACAACCAGGTTCTTAACGTTGAGCGACATCTATCCGACAAAAAAGAGATTTTCAATACCTACGTTTAGTTCACGTAATATCAAATATATTGATTCGACCGATTTGCACTACACGCACACAACTATTTTGTTACAAAAATAAAGTATACAATTCCTTCTACAAATATGTCAAACGAGAAAGTGGTAAAACCGATGCAAAAAATTCCGATATCAGGGGTAGATGGCATCTTCCCCAAGAAAATAAGTTGTGCCTGAGTTATCTGGGCATGGTATGTATTAATTCAGTTTTTTTGTGTTAAGGCTTAAGTTCATGCATTTTGACCATGCCTTAAAAAACATATGTCCTCTGAACTTTCGTTACGTCATAAACCTTCGGCATCATTCAGCGTCTAGGCTCTGGTCAAGGCTTGTGTAGTTTATTTTGGTTTATAAATACACCGAATATATTTTATTCAGTTATCTAAAATATAACCTCCAAAACTTAAAAATGGAACATCTTGAATTCCAGACTTCTCAGAATAGTGAACCCAAATTCAAATTTGTTCAGGAATTTAGAGTCTATATTTTCACATATTTTTCATAAACAGACGCGTAAAATTTACGTCAACAAAAATTGATAAGCGAGTTCGCTATTGTTCTTTAAGTGTGAAGTACCTCTTTTGTTTCATTGCACAACGTTCAAAAATCCTGTCCGAGCGGACTCGTGAGTGAAGCTTAGCAAGTGATGCATTTTCGTAATCCCAACGCAGCGCGAAAATTCCAGTGTGCCAATTTTATATAATTTCGAGAAAAGTAACTTAACCCCCTCATGGACAGTACTGAAATAATACCGCACACCAAAAGTCACATTTTTCTTTATGCCTTAGTGCCCATATTGATTCAACATAGTTATTACGCTTTGTCACTGACGGCTGATCGCGTCATATTCATAGCAGCACTGTAAACTGTTCTTGCAAATGTTTCTACGGCCATGACTGTAGTACAGTGATTTTATTTAATTTATTTCAGCAAAATAAATCTAAATCTGTACATTAAAATACACCGTAAAATAGCGTAACCCTTGCTGTATAAGAACACAAATAAAAGTTATTATGTACTAACTATTCCAAAAGAAACAATTACTAATTAGATTATATTTAAGCAGTAATGAAGGTTATTTATTTACCATTTGAATAATGAAATCACAGTTTGGAAAGTGGTAAGAGAGGTGATTTTGATTACTAATAGTATGTATTGTTTAGTTATTCATCAAATTTAAACGAAAATTAAGTAATTCATTTCACCTAAGTGGTAAAAAATACCTACTTAACTGACCTGATTTTAAGTGTGAAAACACGTTTCATTATTATTTATTATAGAATAGGGTTTCTGCAGTACACATTATTGGTTTATTGAATTACTAAAAAACGATGCATTTAGAGAAAACAACTGTAGGGATTTTTACTGTCAGAAAGTTCCAGCACGAAAACAAACTACATAACCACAAAAGGCAGTCGCTGGCGACGCACTGACATGTACGGTCTTACATCACATCATACAAACACGTCGGTATTCACCGTACTGTCTTGGTGTGAACATATTAAATATGTGTGTGTAACGTCCACAAATGTATATCAAATAAATCATTCAATTTTATCAGTACATTGTTGATACTTCTCTATGGAGAAGCAGTAGGCGGCAACTACAAAGAAAGCACTTTGAATTCGCACGATGAAGCCCGTACTAGTTTTTATAAGATCCATATGTCGAAACGGGATAGCCCGTACTGTCCTTATTCTATATTTTTCATTTTACGGTAAACGCCGTTACTGTTCATGAAAGGGTTAAAGGTCTTTGATTTTTATAGTTGGAAATTACAAAAATGATTTACTGAAAAAAAAACTAAATATTATTAATATGATTGTAATAAGAATACAAAACAGTATTTATGTAGCTTTGCCGGTTTTCCAAAATGCAGCCGTAACTTCAGCAAATCTAAAATTTCCTTAAATGAAATTGAATAATTTATTTCGCTCTAATTAAATCCATATGTACAATTATTACTGGGACTCGTGCCCAATGTATGTAAATGTAGAATGTTCGTAGTAATGTATTGTAATGTAATGTAAAAAATGCAAGGCACCATACTGTCCGAAGGTCTTTATTGTACTAAAAATACACGTAGTTGCTCATAAAATGTAAGCGCGGCAATGCGCGCGATCAGCAACATATTTAGGTTAAATTATGACATACCTAATATACTGCTCCGCTCGTATGATTATAAAATAAGTAAAAAATACATTACAACATTTAATAATTAAATTATAATTGACAAACAAACATACAATTGTAATTAAAATAGATAATATGATTGTAAAATAAAGCAAAACTCATTAGACTTTGAAAAAAAAAATACATTAAATATATACCGAGTTCTTAGGTTTTCGCGATTGTTACACATAGGAAATGAAACTATTTTTCCGTCAACCGTGACCATGGGACCTGTAAAGGGCCCGAATCGTCGGTTTGTATGAAAAAACAAATATACGCGATTTAAATCCGGAAAAATAGTTTCATTTCCTACATTAAATATATGTATATGAAAACAGATCTTTAAAAAATAAATTAAATAAAAATAAAATGAAATTTAGTATGCAAAATAATAAATAGTATACTTAATTTAAACCGCCAACGTGAAGCTGCATCGGGGGGCCTATTTATATAGTCTATTTTGATCGCTACGAAACGGTCAGGTTGTCGCTTAAAACAGTCATATTTGCATAGTTTTAACTATTTTTTGTTAGTAGCATTTAAAACTACTTTTGTAGCGCGGGTTCGTCCGTCCAAATCCTGTGAAATAAACGATTTGATCATTGCGTTGCAGCCGCGACCGCAGCCGCGACCGCCGCCGCGGCCGCGGCCTCGGCCGCAGGGGCGGGCCCGGGCGCCGGCGCGGCCGCGGGGAGCCCCGGCGCGGACGAGAACTCGGAGGAGGAGGCGCTGCCTATGATCCAGCTGGCGTCCTTCGCGCTGCACAAGCTCTTCTCCGAGTGGGAGTACGAGGGCCACAAGGTGCCGCAGCTCAAGCCGTCGTCCGGCAACTCCGTGAGTAGCCAAGCGCCCGGCCGCGGCCGACCCGAAGGGGCCGCAGTGACGTGACGTGTGGCGCATGCGCAGCTGAGCGAGCCCAGCGCCGACGTCGCGGCCCCGCCCCCCGCGCCGGCCGCGCCCAAGGTGAAGCCGCCCAAGACGGCCAAGGACCTGCCGCTGAACGCCGGCGCCATGCACCCCTGCATGCTGCTGACCTTCATGCGGCCGCACCTCGAGTACCGCGAGCTGGCCATCGAGGGCGACCGCCCGCAGAACATGCTGTTCACGCTCGGCGTCGACGTGGACGGCGCCACGTACGTCGGCAAAGGTACCCTCGCGACCCGCGCAGTCGTGACCGCATCGTTCGCCCGCCCGCGAGCGCGGCGGTAACGCAGTGTCGTGTTGCAGCCAGCAACAAGAAGGAGGCGCGCAAGCTGGCGGCCAAGGCGGCGTGCTCGGCGCTGTTCGGCGTGGTCTTCGACGAGCACCCCTCCTCCAACACGCCCGTGCTGGCCAAGACCGAGTGAACCCGCCCCTCTGCTTCGACGTAACTCTGCGTTGTTCATCTCACTATTTGTTAGGTATGTTTTGAAAGAGAGCGCGACCGAGGACGGTCGGCCGCACGATGTCGTGAGCGAAGCGCGTCGGGGCAGCGACATTGTCTATTTATACCTACGATTTAGAAGACGCAATGGAGAGACCGTACGTGACTAGTTACGTTTTCGTCACGACATCGTCGAAATGAAATCATTTTCGTTTAATATTTTTTAACGTAAGGATATCAGTATATACATCTTACTTTTAAGTACCCCGTTTGATTAGGTCTTTACACTTGTCGACGAGCGGATGTGTAGGAGTGTAGACGTAATTTGTTTTTTGTGTATTATGTGTTGTAGTGTAATGAAATAAATAAATAGGAAGTTATGTATAACGACGTTGTAGTTTTTTTTATACTTGCTTTTAATCTGTTAGGTTTTCTGGCAGCGATGTACGGAAGTAATTAAAAAAACGACAAGTACGGACGTAACTATATTTTATTAGATGTTATTACATCTCAAACATTTAATGGAATGTTGTACTCGAACAAATGAGATCGTTACATTGCTTTGCATTACATTAATCACAAAATAGTATACGATTTGAAGTATTACAAAAATTATGGACGAAGGAAGGCGTCATTGGAATCTAAACACGGTCCACACGAACCAAACGATTTTATGGGTACTTTTTTCTACCTAATTTTGATGGCAATTTTTACCATTAAGTGTTTCGAGTATATTGCCGTGGAAATAGTAAATATTTCAAATTAGTACACTGTAATATAAAATAAACATTGTAGTCGTAGACATTTATTTATAACAGATAAGCAATGGTCGGAAAGAGGTGTTCCACATATATAGACACATGTATAAATATAGCTACAAGGAGCAACATAGAGATGTTAAAACCACCAAGTTCTAAAAAGTAATTAATTAATAATTACTTTTTAGAATTCCGGATTTCCGGAAATATTATTGTAGATTTTAAAGTAATTATGATGGTGCCATGTAAAAAAATGCAGTACATGTACAACAGTACAGCACTGACCTTTTAACAAGGCAGAGAATAAAATAGTAACGAGTAAGGTCACTCCGCCCCTCTCTAGCTTTAAATACCGCACCGAACCCCGCATATTGATGGTCACATTGACGAAACGGCAACAAGGCTGTCAGTATATATAGTATCTTCAACAATTTTATACTGTAATTTCAAATTGGCTTTGACAACGTTCAAAGAAAACATAGCTTTTGTTTTCTTTCGTCTTGAGCTGTCACGTCCACGTAAATCTATGAAAAATTCAAAATTTTCCACATTAAATTCAAGCGCTGAAATTGAATATAATAGTGCAGAGTCCGAGTCGGATTAGTCTACCACCACGGACGATGTGGACAAAATAGAAAAAAAAGTTGTTCTCTGCCAAACAAATGCAAAGCTAAATACGTTACGTTACACGCTATATGCAATATTTTATAACATTGAATGTTGACTATGGCGTAACGGACAAAATATAATATAATTTTTAACGTATCTCGCACGACATTTATGAATTGTGACTTGCACTATATATACGGCTCACCAAGGAATTTAGGCCTTTAACGCCTTATGAATAAGCGTCAAAATAACACGAAATTTTTTATTAATTGAAAATAAAAAGTCATACAAAATAATATTATCTCTAAAGTACAAGTTTTATTTATAATAATGATAACCAGTTATAATTTGAGATCACTATCAATTGAATATTTTTGAACTAATCAGACATAATTAGCCTTTTTCTTGAAAATTATTAGTAGGAAATGAACCTATTTTTCCGGATTTAAATTGCGTATATTTGTTTATTCAAACAAACCAACGCTTCGGGTCCTTCACAGGTCCCATGGTCACGGTTGACCGTGACCATTTGACCAACCGTGACCGTGGGACCTGTAAAGCGCCCGAAACGTCGGTTTGTTTGAAAAAACAAATATACGCGATTTAAATCTGGAAAAACAGTTTCATTTCCCATGTGTAACAATCGCGAAAACCTAAAAACTCAATAAATTATTAGTATTTCAAAATATTTTAGTATATAAATAATAAAAATAAAACTATAACTAAAACTAATTAGAAAGTATTTTTCCGGATTTAATTCGCGTATATTTGTTTTTTTATTTTTCAAATAAACCAACGTTTCGGGCCCTTTACAGGTCCCATGGTCACGGTTGATGTCAACCAGGTCGTGAAACTTTGCTTTGTTTGAAAAAACAAATATACACGATTTAAAGACGGAAAAATAGTTTCATTTCATAAAAGTAAGTTCTTCAAAATCTTGTCATTAATCTAAACACAATAAATAAAAAAGGCTATTTTAAAACAAAGCATTATAAAATTTTAAAATAATCATATTATCAAGCGTATGTTATTTTTTTGCGGCCAGTCTTGGGTGGCCTTTAATTTCCCTTGCTTTTCTTGCATTATCCCTTGCTTTTTCTTACCAAACATTTTGCTATAAAATTCCTTTTCCTTCATTGCGTTTTTCTTCTGTTCCTGTTTTTTCACATTGCCAGCTATTTTCCTTTTACTTCTTTCAGTCGTTTCAAGTACATAGTGCTCCCTATCTAGTATGTCATCTTCGATGTTTTTATCTTGATGATCGATGTCAGGATATCAATTTTGTCAACATAAGGGAGGCTCAGATAGTTTTGAACGTACTGCTTGGGAATCACACCATCGTTACATAGTTTTTTCAAATCATGGTATTTTTCTGTTGAAATAGGTACTGGGTTTGCATAAAGCCTTGTAAGTCTGAGACCGTATTCATTGTATTGGTTGATTCTTCTTCTTAAGGTGCCTCTCCAACTAGTGAAGATTGGCAGTCACCTCAGCATATTTATCTGCGTTCCTGGCGAGGCTGAAAAGTTGGGCGGCACTCGCTATCCTAGTCCACTCTCGTATGTTCCTCAGCCACAATTTTTTCTTACGACCAGCTTTCCTTTTACCAGCGACTTTTCCCATCATTATCAGTTGCAGAAGCTCGTATCTGTCATGTCTAAGTACATGACCCAGATATGCAACTTTTATCTGTTTGATGGTCTGCAAAAGTTTACGCTTCTGTCCAACTAGTCGCAGAACTTCGTCATTGGTGACTTTCTGAGTCCATGATAAGTGTAACATTCTTTTGTAGGCCCACATTTCAAATGCTTCAATACGTTTTCTGAGATGCTCTTTTATTGTCCAGGCCTCACATCCGTATAGAAGTATTGGCCAGATGTAACACTGAAGTAGTCGAGTGCGCAAAGGAATCTTAAGACAACGGCAACATAATACTTTCCTCATAGTATTAAAAGCACTCGTGGCAACTTCACTGCGGGTTTTAATCGTTGATAATAAATCTCTACTCCATCTTTTTTCTTTTACTCCGGTTATTTTCTTTTTTGTATCATGGCCCAGTGGAATTTTTTAATATTCAGCGTCTTCTTTCATACAGTATTTAATTTTCATGACGTCTAAATTGGTTTTCTTAAAAGTTGCAGTCCTTATGTCCCTTAATTTCAAGTTTTTATTAGGCATAGTTCTAGCCGTAAATACTTGTCCAGTAATTATTTGCCAATCAGTAAAATCGGCGTGGTCTAACACTTTACTTCGTATGGACGCGGAAATTTTCGCGCGGTAAGTATGAATGTAGCCCATTTGTTTAGGACTCCACACAATGAGGTTTAGTATCTATCGTTCGATGACACTATGCATGGAGTCAACAGGCATGTGCGTATGTCCTGGCAATATATAGTTCACTTGAATCATTTAGTCAATCACAAAGTACCTAACCCTCAAATATGTTTAGAAAAATATCATAGTTTAGGTGCATATTCACGTTAAAGAAATGTAATTCGAATACAATTATTTCATTTTCTAATCAGTATGAAACTAAGGTTTATACCAAAACTTGTTTTAGAAGTATTTTTTGGGTTTAAACATTGACCTACCAACATTGACTTACAAATAAATGGACGACGGGTCTAATACAAAAACCACGAAAAAAATGTCCCAAGTCAACCTATTCGAAATTTAAATTGTAATGTCATCGCAGTATCGCGCTGTCAGTAGAACAAATGAAGACTAAAGCGGAGTGTCGCGCTCTGTATACGATTTTAGCGCCTTACAAGTGCGGACACTTTTTAGCGCGGACCCGACGTCCATATAATTGTAAGTCAATGCCTACCAATGAATGGACGTCGGGTTCGCGCCAAAAAGTGTCCGCACCTATAGGGCGTTAAAATCGCATACAGAGCGTCAATCGCGTAACAGTCTTCGTTTGTTCGACTGTCAGCGCGGTTGTCAGTCATACAGTACCAATATAATAATAACTTGTAATAATTACTGCAGTAAAGTGTAAAAACAGGATTTTGTATCATATTTTCACTAAACAAATATATTGTGTTATCATAGTTCTCATTTAAAAGTGTTATTTTTGACAGTTTTATAGTATTTAATTTACATACAAATGTATCGTAAATATAAATTACAAAAGCACGCAAAATAATCAAATAGCTAACTGTCCTTTTTCTACACATTGCATGCACAAAAGATGGAAAGAGACCTTACGTCAATTTCAAGAAGCTTATGTAAACTTCTTGGTCATTTTCAATTGTTCGAACCACAAGCGATTGAAATATTTAGAACAAAGAAATTATAGAGTCGCTTTGATTTTAATCTTATTTTTAAAATGACTTTTTTATTAAACGTTAGCAATAATAATAACAAAATATTGTTATACTCGTTTTACGGCTTGGGATTTTCTATCATAAGTCAGAAAATACATTTGCCCCACATAACTTTAGATCGCATTTTCATAATGTTAAATGTATTTTTTTAGGGAGATTACAAAACAAAAGCTAATTTTGTCTTTGTGAAAAGCATCAAAATTACTTGAAAGTTTTATTACAAATCGGTTTTCGGAATTACGGATATTTGAGTTTACGTTTGTTGGAATATCGGTACATTTCTTATAGTACACGCTTATTTTTACATTTGTAGTAATATTTGTATACATGTTTCTGCCCAACTCTTTATTATTTCTTTAAGTAAATTTGTACAAAATTCGACATAATAACATATAAAATTAATTAATATTTACGATAAAGGCTACTCCATTACTCTTGTGTTCAAGTAATTTTCAGTCGAAGCTAAATATGATGCATTTTGTTAAGTTTCCAGTAGAAGCTGAATATGGTGTTTTTGGGCCCTTAAATTATTGCAAGCAAAATTAGGCAGTACTGCAATGACCTTTCAATTAAAATTAAACGTTTTAGTTTTTTATATTTCGTTACATGTTACTACGTTTGTATAGGTTAACTTCGGACATTTTTTCTTGGTTTTTGCATTAGTCCTGACGTCCGTTTGTTGATAGGTCAATGGGTTTAAAATATTACTAGGTAAGTAAATTCCATTTCCATTTAACTTAAATATCCTGTTTCGTAATTATTATTACACGTTTGAGTAACAAGTTACTGTAATAACATAAAAATATTAATCTAAGGTCCATTTCTTGTAAAAAAAGTGCGATATTCGTTAAAGTAACTAATAATTATTTGTTGTAAATAACTGAGTTTAATGTAACAGACAAAAGTTTTAGCGAGTACGTTACGTTAATTTAGTAAGACTCAAGTTCCTTATAAATACATCACACACTAAATTTTTGTGTTATTTTACCAATGAATCTTCATTATTTTGTAAGGTAACCGCAATTTTTTTTTTTCAAGATATAATTGTTTTAACAGCACCATTCGATTGGGCGCAAAATTTTCTGTCGAACTGTATATATAACTCATTTTCGCCCATTTGGTGGTTACGTTAATTCATCCTACAACTGACGAAATACAATCAATACTACACAAACATTTGGGTGTGAAAAAGCTGTGCTCTCGGTGGATCCCACACAATTTGACTGAGGCTCAAAAAACGGATCGCGTCACTTGGTGCAATGCCATGCTTACCAGATTCAACGAAGGGGCGTCAAATTTGGTGTGGGATATAGTAACAGGTGACGAAACATGGATTTAAAGTTACGATCCCAAAACAAAGCAGCAATCGGTTATGGGTCTTTCGAGATGAGCCGAAACCAACTAAAGTGGCGCGCGTGCAAAGTGCCTCTAAGCGGATGATTGCTTCTTTTTTTAATAAAATTGGACACGTGGCTACTGTTTCTTTGGAGAATCGTTGTACTGTGAATAGTGATTGGTACACGACCATTTGTTTGCCGGAAGTTATTGACAAACTCCGTAAAAATAACCGTAACCGTAAACGCCGTGTCATCTTGCACTACGAAAATGCCAGTGCTCACAATGGCCAGACAGACAAATGAATTTTTGAAGGTGAACAACGTTGACAACGGCTCGTAAAGACATCCCGCGTACAGACCCGACCAGGCACCGTGTGACTTTTATTTCCAAAAATTAAGAACCAGTTACGCGTTCATCGATTTTCATCACCAGAAGAGACTGTCGAAGAGTAAGAAAAATACGTTTCACAGATTGTCACGGAGGTGTGGCATAAATGTTTTCAAAATTGGTTCATTCGTATGATAAAGTTTATTAACGCTAACGGAGAATATTTTGAGAAACAATAAATTCATTTCTGACTATTTATAGTATTTTTTTCTTATTCATTCAGGAAAATTATATTACGCCACACGTACAGTCATTGATTACCAGTCAATTAATACATTTTTAGATGCTTATTAGGTTATTTTTATTATATTTCTATGCTAATTTTAAGTCATTTTACTGTATTTGCATTATTCATTATTCAGAAAAAAAATTGAGCTGTACATACTTACCGTTATAACGGTAAAACTATACATACTTCGAGCTCAATATTTG